TGTACGTAATAGAAACCGCACCCCGAACTTTTGATCCCAATTTTTAAATTGATACATTGTAATATAAACCGCGGTTTATAATGGGACTTTAACGGTAGGTACGTTGGGTGGACTTCTTTCAGTTTTGCTCATTTTATAATTCAACTCTAGAAGACTTATTTTGCCTTAGGTGGCTGTTAACTTGCCTTGGTTGTTTTAAAGATGATTACTTTGCGGGACCATATGATATATTACCAGAGGTACATTACTTGGGGTTTGCAACTACGGTGACATGATACCAAGATCTCGTTTCAATCTCGCTCTCGCATAAGCGTTCCAACTCAGAAAAATGCGAATGTGCATGCCCGAGGTAACTAGGATACTGGGATGTCCAGGTGGGTCAAAATAGCTGCTCACTATATGACGGATTACGATAACTATATTTTCTGTACATTTTCGATCTATTACATTTGTTCACTATGAATGTGGTAATACATGTTTTATTGTTTTATTACAAACCACCAATGTCATGTCAGAAGGTCGTAGCATCAGTCTCGCTATCTACGAGATGAGACTTGAATGGAATCTTGGCATGATGTCACCATACAGTACTATGCGTGTTGCAAACCCAAAGTAATGTACCTCTGATATTACCTATATAAACTAAGTGCATATATTCCTCATCAATATAATGAAAGCTATCTTTGATCACTCTAGCCAAACATTTCATTTTTCTGGCAAGCTTGAAACTCATAACATTCAATGTGACAAATTCCTTATTGTTTTTTTTGTTTGTTTCAGTGTGAAATTTCCAGATTGCAAAATCAGCTTGATAATTTTGAGAAAAACAAGGAGACAGAAATGGCACAACTAGATAGTGACAATGCAGAATTGAAGAAGAGACTAATAAAACTCATCAGGTAATAGCAGTTTACATTCCTACCCACATTAAATCTACGTAAACATGAAACAATAACAATAGAAGTGATTGTTTCTTTGACAAATTTGTAAAATTAAAACCCAGTGAATATGCTCAAAACATCAAAATAGTGAAATTAAATGTCAGTGAAAATAAATGGTTTTACAGTATCTCCCTCTCGACAATTTGAAAGTAGGTGTATCACATTGGTGATCTAGTTGCTGCACATTATGCTGTGTTCCTGGTAGATTGCTTTTTTATATATCTCAGTCTCTTTAATTTTGTATTGCCAGAGATAAGGACAATCTATGGCAGAAGACTGACTGGTTAGCTCATCAGCAGAAGCTGCAAGCTGCCGAAAGATGGTTAGATGACAAAGAGGTAGGATATAATGACATTGGGAAAACCTTTACTAAATTTTGAATTTGATCTTCCGCTCTCACCAAGTTACAGTGTGTCTTTCCCCCAATGCATTGAGCAATCATGCATTTATTGTCAGTATTAGCATCACTAAACTATCATATTTGTATTGCTAATTTATTGCGTTTGCTTTTTATTCTTTCATTGCACATTTTACCACGTCAAACCGGGAATCGAAAGGTCATTTTAGGATTCGCCACAAAATATAAAGGACGTCATGAGCTGCAGCGAATACATAATATGGAGTGAATTGTTAAATATTAAGTTTTATTATACATCTGTCATTGTAACGCCACAAGTTACAGCATGCTGTAATTATGCAGTATTTTATGGGGATTTTTCATCCTACCATATTAGGAATGCGATTCAAAATATGGAATGATTACACGCATAAGCATCTTCTAATAATTAAAACAAACATGACTGCCACCGGGGTTTGACCGGACTCCACACATACTCTACACACTCCACTCCAAACTTCACACATGCATCATGCATGACATTATACATATGCACATCCATTTGTTTCACGATCTGAATGGCAGCCATTTTTGTACTGACAAATCATCAAAATTAAGCATTTCTCGGCTGTTTACAGATGGATTTTGTTCAAACTTGGTATATACATTCGACATTGTAGGACATTGATGCTTGATGTTTATCAAATGAGATTCAAAATGGACGACTTGTTTTAATGAATGTGGTTCTAGTGCCATATCTCTGAATTGCTTTGACTGATTATATTCAAATTTTAAATATTCATTATGCATCATGTCATAGATATACAGATATATTGCTTTGACGATCCTATTCAAAGTGGCCAAATGGTGGCTATTTTTGTGCTAAAAAATCAAATATCAAGCATTTCTGGCATTTATGAATGGATTTTGTTCAAACTTATAACATACATTAGACATTGTGAGTTCCTGATGCACGTCATTTTATTTTTCAGATCGGATTCAAAATTGCTGACTGGTGGCCATTTTGTTTTAATGAATAGGCTTCTAGAGCCATACCTCTGACATGCTTTGACTGATTATGTTCAAATTTTGATTCCATTTTACAGTATATCATATATCGATCTATAATGCATTTAACTAGTTTATCTTGGCATGGCTTACCCAACCATTGCATTTGAATTATTCCCAATGCAAATGTATTTCATTTACTTTCTTTTTTCTAGGTTTCTCATTGTATGCTGTGTAACACTGAGTTTTCTATAATAACTCGTCGTCATCATTGTCGTCTCTGTGGTAGAATATTCTGTCATAATTGCTCCAATAATTGGATCATGACAAAACACAGCAGGTATTGTACACTTTGTATCTGTCTCACAGAGTACATTGATTTTGTGATGAATTGTCAATACAATGTATATGGAACACAGTATTGTTTCCGGACAACATTTATTAAAAAGCCTGTTTTAAAGTTTTTATGTATAGTCAAATTTTCACTGCTATGTATTTATTATCCCTGACTTAAACACAAAAAACCCACTTCCTATGAATATTTATATAACCAGTATAGTGAAATCTGACTAAACTGAACACCAAAGTGATTTTTAAGGTGTTTGGATCTGATGTATTTTGTGTAGACAAAAAACTGAGATGTTTGGCTTAAGCAATTTTCTCATTCAATATGAACGTTTGGTCAGAGCAGATTTTGAAAGGGACAAATTCTGGGGATCAAGGAAAATCATGAAATGTTGTAGCAAAAGGTATTTCCTGTGATTGTGAATTTTACATTCTTCTGTTCATCACTATTGCACTTATAGCATAACTCTTGCACAATAAAGATGTAACTGGTGAATAATATTGTGAACAGCTATTGTTTTCATGACGATTGGTTATTAGCACCCAGTAATTGTAATAAATGCTTCTACAAAATCAACATTCTGGAGTAAATCTATTTCATAAGCTACATTTCATAAATGTTCTTATTTCAGTAAAAAAGCCAGGGCCTGTCAAGGTTGTCATGCTAAACTACAACACCAACAAGATGGTGGTCTACTTGATGCATCATTGGTGGAAATGAGTGATGATGAAATAGACCCAGCCTTATTGAAAAGCCAAATTTCCAGACTGAGTATGGAGTCTGGAAATGATGACATGTCGTCAACGACAACTACTCCAGATGATGACGAGAGGAGTAATAGTCGATCATCTTTTGTAACTGCATCAAGTGGTGTCATGTCCCCTTCTTCTGAAGATGGAAACGAGTTCCCACCTCGTACTAATGACAGTAATGTAGGAACAGGAAATACTAACGAATCAGTGAAACCCTTATCTCTGTTAGAAGAACCTAAGAAAGTTGATCCATCAGCATCTGTTGTCATGACAACAGGAGATGTTGGGGCTGCCTCGGAGACAACGATGGATGATATTGACTCCAGCAGAGATGAGTTGTTTGATTTGATCAGTGATGAAGAGATTGCTAAAACCAAAGAAGATGAGAAATCAAATACGCTAGGCAGTAGTATGGAAATCAGTGACGACAGGTAAATAATTAATTAATTAAAGTATGATCACATCATATATAATATTATACATATACACAATTTGTTTCAGTCTGATTCAAGATGGGCGAATGATGGTCATTTTTGTACTGAAAAATCATCAACATCAAGCATTTCTCGACTGTTTAAAGATGGATTTTGTTCGAACATGGTACACACATTGGATATTATATGACCTTGATGCTCGTCATTTTATTTTTTCAGATAAGATTCAAAATGGCCGACTGGTGGCCATTTTGTTTTAATGAATGTGGTTCTAGTGCCATATCTCGGTCATGCTTTGACTGATTATGTTAAAATTTTAAATATTCATTAAAGATCATGTCATAGATATACAGATATATTGGTTTGACGATCCTATTAAAAATGGCCGAATGGTGGCCATTTTTGTGCAAAACCATAAAAAGTCAAGCAATTCTGGCTTTCCGGAGCCAGATCTTGGTCGTTTACGGATGGTTTTTGTTCAAACTTGGTACATACATTGAAGCATTAAATGACCTTGATGCATTTTTTTTAGATAAGATTAAAAATGGTTGACTGTTGTCCTTTTTGTTTTAATGAAAGCGATTCTAGAGCTGTATCTCTGATGTGCTTTGACTGATGTTCAAATTTTATACATTCATTATACGTCATGTCATAGATATACAGATGTATTGGTTTAAGGATTCCATTAAAAATGGACTATGCCATGCATGTTTAATATTAATACAGTACTTTATTTGTATCTCGCTACAAGGAGGAACCTAGTAAAATATTAAAAACAGATAAAGTTTGAATTTGTGGAGAGACTGTGATTGTGAACATATTGGATTTTTTATAAATGATTAAAAAAAGAAAGTACTGGCAGGGGAAAAAAAGAATGATATGAACAGTTAGAACTTTCATGTACCTAGCATACAAAGGGACATTGCATAAACTCTCATTGTATTTTCTACTGTCTTTGGGACTCACAGATTGACCTCTTTGCTTGTGTCTGTGTGTCTTTCTGTGCAATCGGACCT